GCCTTTCTTGGTTACCAATAATCAACCCCCCCATGTAGGTGAATCCCTAATTGACACCATCTTTCCGTCTGTTTTGATCTTCCAGCAACCAGAGAGTCGGCGTTCGTCCACGCCATCGCCTCGGCGGGCGTCGCCTTCGCGGTGACTCGCTCCTGCGCCGAGGGCACGTCCACCATGTGCGGCTGCGACTCCCACCACAAGGGGCCTCCGGGCGAAGGCTGGAAGTGGGGCGGCTGCAGCGAGGACGCGGAGTTCGGGGTGCTGGTGTCCAGGGAGTTCGCGGACGCCCGAGAGAACCGGCCGGACGCCCGCTCGGCGATGAACCGGCACAACAACGAGGCGGGACGCACGGTAAGCACGCCTAGTGAGCGGATGCAACAATTCTGTTTTTCATAGCCACTGCTCGCCAGAAGTATGTAAGACACCCAAACGTGAACATCCAACACCACATAAACTGACCTAAACCTGCCTCCCATTCAGTCACAAGAGGGTTACTGAGGTCGCTCGCTGTTGTTGCACATTGTCAACCTGAAACATGCTGAAGAATTTGGACTTTCCTTCACTGGAATTATTGGTCCTTGGAAACTTTTCCACGCCGTTCTACACGTCACCTCCAGAAAGATGTTTCACCATGCTGAATGCATCGTCCAACAACCTGCTCCTCTGTACGCTGATTTTAAGCCGCGCTGCATTTATTTTATTGATCAAGTGTGTTTTATTTTGATCTCACATCTCCAATTTCCTCTCTGCTTTGTTCAGCCACGAGACTGATGGTCATAGCTGAGTCACTAACGTCTTCTTAATTGGATTGTTTGGGTTTGTACAGAATCTGGTTAGTGTAAATAGTTAACTTTTTTTTTTTTTAATTTCTAAAAACAGACAAAAAAACCCCAAAACCAACAACATGCAGAATGAAGGGATTGTCATTAAATATCACAATTGTAAGCTCAGATTTGAAACTGTATCTTACACATGATTAGTTCAAGGGCCATCTGAAATCTGGAAATGCAACAATGACTGTTCCGACTCTGACAAATGGTGTCATTTTGGCGATTTCTAAAAAAAATATAACATGTTTGTCGAACTTGTTGGCAGATGTTGGTGTTCAAAGGATTTAATAATAAAGTAAAGAAACTAGCAGCATAGAAATACACTCACGGGCCACTTTATTAGGTACACCTGTCCAACTGCTCGTTAACACAAATTTCTAATCAGCCAATCACATGGCAGCAACTCAGTGCATTTAGGCATGTAGACATGGTCAAGACGATCTGCTGCAGTTCAAACTGAGCATCAGAATGGGGAAGAAAGATGATTGAAGTGACTTTGAACGTGGCATGGTTGTTGGTGCCAGACGGACTGGTCTGAGTATTTCACAAACTGCTGATCTACTGGGATTTTCACGCATCTCTGGGGTTTACAGAGAACGGTCCGAAAAAGAGAAGATATCCAGTGAGCGGCAGTTCTGTGGGCACAAATGCCTTGTTGATGCCAGAGGTCAGAGGGGAATGGCCAGACTGGTTGGAGCTGATAGAAAGTCAACAGTAACTCAAATAACCACTGGTTACAACCGAGGTTTGCAGAATAGCATCTCTGAAGGCACAACACGTGGAACCTTGAGGCGGATGGGCTCCAGCAGCAGAAGACCACACCGGGTGCCACTCCTGTCAGCTAAGAACAGGAAACTGAGGCTACAATTCACACAGGCTCACCAAGACTGGACAAAAGAAGATTGGAAAAACGTTGCCTGGTCTGATGAGTCTGGATTTCTGCTGCGACATTCGGATGGTAGGGTCAGAATTGGCGTCAACAACATGAAAGCATGGATCCATCCTGCCTTGTATCAACGGTTCAGGCTGCTGGTGGTGGTGTAATGGTGTTTCTTGGCACACTTTGGGCCCCTTTGTACCAATTGAGCATCGTGTCAACACCACAGCCTGCCTGAGTATCGTTGCTAACCATGTCCATCCCTTTATGACCACAGTGCACCCATCTTCTGATGGCTACTTCCAGCAGGATAACGCGCCATGTCATAAAGCGCCAATCATCTCAGACTGGTTTCTTGAACATGACAATGAGTTCACTGTACTCCAATGGCCTCCACAGTCACCAGATCTCAATCCAATAGAGCACCTTTGGGATGTGGTGGAACGGGAGATTCACATCATGGATGTGCAGCCGACAAATCTGCAGCTACTGTGTGTTGCTGTCATGTCAATATGGAGCAAAATCTCTGAGGAATGTTTCCAGTACCTTGTTGAATCTATGCCACGAAGGATTAAGGCAGTTCTGAAGGCAAAAGGGGGTCCAACCCGGTACTAGCAAGGTGTACCTAATAAAGTGGCCGGTGAGTGTATAACATGTAGTGAATATCTGTAGGACTGACTCTGCAAAACTGAAGCAGGACGCACTGTTGAGTGTAATTTGTGTATTAGGATGAAAGTTCTTCACAACACTAGTATATTGCATTAATCAGACAACCCCAGCACAGGTGCTATGATTTAAAGTCTCTCTCTGGTCGTTTCATATTTATTTTAGTTGGAAGACGTAAAAACTGTTGAGTCTTGACATTAAGGTGAATGTCACCATCATCGACAGTCTGGACTCTAAGGCATAAAATATGCGCTTAATTTGTGTTTTAAAAGTGTCACGACGGAAAACACGTGACAAAAAAGTTAACGTTTGTTCTCTAGACATAAACAGATGTGATATAAACTTCATCTCCATCAATCAAAGTTACATATTCAGATGTTTATTAACATGAAAATAGTCCCTACAAGCCTTTAAAGAAGCCTTCGATGTAACTCCAAGTCTCCAGACATAACCAATCTATGTCGATGACAGCTCGAGCACACCAGCTCACCTACAACCCTGTAAACCTACGTTAGACAATGGCAAGTTGTAATGGGATAATAGAAAGATAACAGGATTGGTTCTTTAGGTTTGATACGTAGGAAACCGTGGGAGTCTGTGTTTTTGAGACATCATCGATATACTCAGCCAGCATTTACTTCGGTCACGACCTCTGGCACATAAAAAACACCACATGGGGATGTAAACAAGGTAAAAAATGAGAAGTTCTTAAAAGCAAAAAGGGAAACAATGACAGGACTGTCTTGCAAAAAGCAGCGGATTTATCAGGAAACGTTATTGTTTGTGTACGGGCAGGGATTTGGTATTCGACTTGTCCGCACATTTCTGAGTTCCCACCTGAAAATGCGCGCTTGACTTTGAATGACTGGTTAATTACTCATCTAAGCAACACTCTTCTCCCCCACCACCACCACCACAACAACACACACCTCGCCTTTCATGCCTTGCATCCCTATGACACAAAAAAAGAAAGAAAAAAAAATCCCCCGACAGTCAAATAACCCGAGTGAGCTGAGGGGGAAAAAAGAAGGAAATCAGCTCAGACTTAAAACATCACCGGCTGCTGTCACTGCCGGGAGAAAACGAGCTCTCGGCTGCTCGCTCAGGGGCAAACGTGGGGGGCAACGAGGCAGGCCTTTGATCTGAGCACACAGGAGCAGTCAGGGCGACCACAGCGGCGAAGGGAACGCCGACTCCCTCCACCTGGCCCTCTCACGCTCCACTATTTAGCCCCGAGGGTCCCACTTGACGTTGGCATGACAAGCTAACAGCGTGATGTCACTGGTCCATTATCCCCACCTCCCCACCCAGAGGTGCCACCTGCCTTCCGCCCCAGCTGGGGGGAATTCGGCAGCTAAATATAGCTGTTGAATTAAAGCATGACAAAAAAAAAAAAAAATCAAAACACTGAGATGTGCCCCGCAGCGGCACACTCACGATGTGACTTCAGAGGGGAATTAGCAGCGAGCGAGCCTCCACAGCTGCGTGACACTTCAGTTAAACTGCAGCCGTTGCTTTTGTTGGCCCGCGCCGCCAGTCTTTAGCGGTTTCGTTAGTCTGCATTACTGTAAAAATTTCTGACCATAAAATTCCACCAGATCTTGTTTGGTAGTGACGGTTTCCTTAAAACACTGAGTCAGGTATCAGAGCACGTTGTTAAAGGGACACTCCGCCCAAAATCTTCGCTTCTGGACGTCTCCCTGTGCCAAAGCTCTGGATTTACTGGCGACGCGAAAACGGTTTTGGAGCTCCGCTGAACATATGCGGAGGAGTGATTTGAGCGTTTAGGAGGTTTCTATAGACTATTTTCCCTCCGTGCCGTCACTCTGGATTGCCGCTGAAATCTTCTAAATCCAAGCGGATGCAACAAATTTCCTTTCATAAGAAACAGTCATTGAGTCAAGTCAAGTCACCGTTTTGTTTTTTTTCCATACAGCAGGCGTTGCGCCAAAGTGCTTGCCAGTAAAAAAGATTATGATCGCTGTTACAAAATTACCCAAACAGTTTGAAATATTGGGGTTAAGACCTTATAGTGGTATTTATGGGCTGATTTTAGCTGATAAATTTACATATTAGGCAATAAAACACTACAAAAATGTACAAAATACTACTTTTATGCATAATACGACTGAAAGCCTGCAGTGTTATCTAATGTAATAATACAGCCACAGCTTTGTAAATACATAAATAAATACAAATCTGTCTTTAATGGAGTATTGCTTTAAAGCATGAGGAAGTCTTGGTTCATATTAACTTGTGTTTGTGCAAGCCATGCCAAATTTTAATTCATATTACATTTCTAATAGGCTTCTTCTTGCCGAAAATGTCGTAAACATGCTAAAGACATCATGGTAGGGTTCAACTAATTCTACATTTTTATGCATACCCCTTGAAATTGTTGAAAATTTTCGGGATCATCACAACGAGGAACAAAATCCCAGTGCAGACGTGCAGAAAGACTGTTAGTGATTATAAGAACCGTGGTGGCAAATAAAGACTGATTACTGAGAGAGGGTATGAATCATTTTGGATATCGCATTGCTAGTAAAAATTTTAAGAAAACAACAACATAGACATCGTTAAAATCTGTCACGAGTACCTGTAAAACAATGTCTCACTGTGTTTTTTTATTTGTTTAAGTCATTTCCAGCCAGAAGTAACCGACTGGTCAAACAAAAATACATCATAAATCACTGTTTGCTATTGTTTGTGGCTTAGCTTTATGTGAAGAAGTGATCTGTACATTCAAGAGGTTTCTAAAGACATTTTCAATTTATGTCATGAGTCTGGATTGCCAGTGAAATCTGTTCCTAATCCAAACAGATGCAGTTAATTTCCTTTTATAGGGAACAGACAGTGACTCTTCACACAAAGATAAATCTTTAATGACGTATTGCCCTAAAGTATCAGGAAATTTGGATTATGACCATTAAACACGTTGGCTGCCAAGCTGATTCACTTTGGTTCACATGGAATGGTATTTGGAGACACGGAGGAATATTCTACCACGTATTTCTAATGATGTTTTTTGGCTCCAGATCCGATTGGACCAGCTCTTACTGTTTAGTACTGTAGGAGATGGGCATTTCCATGTTGGCAATCATTTGAAGGGAGTTTAGCTCGTACAGGAGCACCTTGACAGACACTTCTATGAGGTTTACTGATGTCAGGCTAGCAAACAAGTGTTAAACTAAGCTAGGCTAAGGTAGGGCAGCATTCCTACATCCCTGTATAACATCAAATGATGTCTTTGGTGGCTATTTATTGAAATTTTTTGAGTAACAACAGGTGTAAAAGATTTGGGAAGATAAAGTTTGTGCCATTACAGATGATTTCAAAGACCCCGTGATCGGTAAAGGAGCATCGACTTCTACGAGGCCTACTGACTTAGAGCTAGCAAACCTGTGTTTAATTAAGCTGCGATAAAGCGAGGTAGCGGTCGTGTATCGCAGTAGAACATCAAATTATCATTTGTGCTGCTTTTCTTTCACATTTTCCAAGAACGACAGGTGTGAACAAAGATTTGGGACAGTTAAGTTGGTGCCAGTACTGACGATTTCAAGATTCCTGTGACGGCTAAAAGACTGTAGCAGAGACATATATGAAGCTTACTGACCACAGGCTAGCGAACAAATGTTTAATGAAGCTGGGAAAAAGAGAAGTATTGATCCTACCTCCCTGTAGAACATCTGACAGTTATGTTTGTGGAAGTTTTTTATGTTTTCAAGTGATGTTACAGATTTGGGTATAAATTGGTGCCAAGATGATTTCAAACCCTGTTTTCGGCTCTGATCATAGGTTTGGGCTCGGGACATCCCCACTGACAAACGTCTTCTGTGTTTCCTAGACTATCCTCGACCACATGCACCTGCGCTGCAAATGCCACGGCCTGTCCGGAAGCTGCGAGGTGAAGACCTGTTGGTGGGCGCAGCCGGACTTCCGCATGCTTGGCGACTACCTGAAGGACAAGTACGACAGCGCCTCGGAGATGGTGGTGGAGAAGCACCGCGAGTCGCGAGGCTGGGTGGAGACCCTGCGAGTCAAGTACGCCTTCTTCAAGCACCCGACCGAGCGAGACCTGGTCTACTACGAGGGCTCGCCAAACTTCTGCGAGCCGAACCCGGAGACGGGCTCGTTCGGGACGCGCGACCGGGTCTGCAACGTGTCGTCGCACGGCATCGAGGGCTGCGACCTCCTGTGCTGCGGCCGAGGCCACAACACCCGGACTGAGAAGCGCAAGGAGAAGTGCCACTGCATCTTCCACTGGTGCTGCTACGTCAGCTGTCAGGAGTGCGTTCGCGTCTACGACGTGCACACATGCAAGTGAGAGGCCGGTGCTCGTAGACAAACTGACTGCTGGACCTTCAACTCCCCACCTCCTGCACGACTTCCCCGCTTCCCCAGACACAGACTTGCACACATTCAGAAATATATTCATCTGCACACACTCTCTTGCCCTAATGGGTAATGGAACATCAGAAATGGATGCTTCTATACATTTTTTTGGTACACACCCTGCACTAGAATCCAAACCACTACGCCGATTTCCATAATCTCTGACCAGAATGTGTCCTGCGTTGACCCGGCCGACGGTCCGGTCCACTCTTACGGGAAGAAGTTGTGCCACTTACCCCCCGCTGAGAACCCCCTTCCCTCCCTTCCCCCTTTTGTCTTTATTTATTTCCCCCCTCCATGCCAGCACAATGTTTGTGGCATGTACAGTAACACTTTTTACCTGTGAGATTAAAGCAGTAAAAAAACAAAACAAAACAAAAAAAAAAAGAGACTCTCTTAGCTTTTGAATAAAAAGCATCTTCTAACTAACACCTCACTTCTCCGGCCAGTCTGGCTGGTTTACCTTTTTGTTGTTGTTGTTGTTTTTTTTTTAAACTAAACCAACCTCTACTCCATCACTTAGTCTTAAGTGATACTGAACACGTCGGCAGCCCCAGGAAACCATCACTTTGTAACTACTGAACTGAACTGAAAACGGCAGGAAGGCAGGCGTTGGAAGTCCTGTCTTTTGTAAACTACTGAGCTGATTAAATCCTCAGTGTTGCTCCTCCTCGCTGACTGACTCTACTGCACCAGTCAACCGGGAAGCCTGGAAGATATATATGCTACAGTGTGATTTTATAGCCCCGCATTTCTGAAATATTACCATTGGGCTGGGACTGGAGGTATGCAGGAGGGGGCATGCTCATTCCACTAACTAACAACCCTACACATGTATATGTATGCACTATTCAGTTACATATAACTCCAGGTGGTTAAAAAAAATTGGTTGTTTACGCGAGCAAATTCTTCTTGGTTTGCAAGCTAGCAGTTCTCATGAATGACGGCTTTGTTACTCGGGCACCTGCACAATTGATTTTCACAAGAAAGTGTGATGCAATTCAAACCGGAGACAGGTAGCGTTCAAGAAGATCGTTTGTGGCTGTTTCATTTATGCATCAAACTCCAGCTTTAGCATGTTTAATATTGATTCTGGTCTTCTTTTCTAACTCTCATCGGGTCCATCTCGGAGACTTTTGTCTAAAGCAAATCTTTCTTTTATTACTGTAAAAAAAAGAAAAAGAAAAAGGGAAAAAAAAGAAAAAGGGGGACATGTGACGACATGTGGAGACCAGAGGGCAAAGTGGGATCTGATTGGCTGTCACATCCATCCTTCCTTCCTTCCTCCTCTCCGTGTTTTCCCCTTCAGTTGGGACAGTTGTGGTTGATTTATGAACTTGTATTCTTGTCAGCACGCTCCAAAAACACTCCTGCCTCGCTGTTTCTGGTTTGGGTAGACTTTGGAAGAACAAAAAAATAAATAAAATATTTTTGAGGCGTAGATGTTGAACAAAGAGGGATCGGTTTTAGAAATCGAAACGGCTTGTAGTTGGTGCGATTCTGAGAAACTTTTTTTTGGGGGGGAAACTTCATCAGGAGCTGGATGATGTATACGTGCAAGATGTGGGTATTTGTGTGCATGATGGCTGCCAATGACAAACACAAGAGGATGGAAAAATGGATGGATGGATGGATGGATGGATGGATGGATGGACGGACGGATGCTGGCTCTACACAATGGCGGAACAAACTGGTTTCCACACGACATGTTCTGACAGTCCCACCTGCTTCCTATTAATTATATTCAACAACAAAAACACAAGTTACCCAGTAGTGTATAGGCTGTCCTCTCTGTGTGACATAGCTTAGCATTTGCGTCATCTCCTCCACAGCCCTCCCTACCTGGGCCTACCTTTCTGTGTTCAGTCCCCACCCCTCCTTCACTTCCCCTCTTTCCACTTTGTCCCCCGCTATATCCAAAGTTTTGTACAAAATGTTTTAAAGTGAATAATTCCCTTTTTATTTTATAATCGTAAATGTTATGTTTTTATAAATATTATTTATTATACAATGTATATATCTGTATGACTGAACTAAGATTATATATTTGAAGAACAAAACTTGTCTCGTGCTTCTTCGTCCACACACACATGCATCACTCGCTTCTATACTTTCACCCTAAAAGGATTCGTACAAGCTTTCTGTACACAAATCCCACGAAAAGACCGACAATGATCCGACAGAGTATTGTGTGTGCGTATCCAGAGCCTCATATTTTATTCCTCTGCACCACAGAGCTCCTCTGTTTTCCAGAAACTATTAAAATCACATCACCGAGCCTCGCCATTGCACTGGATGATATTTTTCCTTCATTACCGTGAACACACAGCGCAGTGTGTTTTACTCCATCTCGTGTACGCCCTCCTGTTGCTGTAAATAGTCGCAAATCAGATGTGTTTGAATCTGCGGCTGAAAAATATTCCCAGACAAATATGACATTTGCTCGTGTTTACACAACGCGGGCCGCGGCAATGAGGAAAATGTGCGACGTGCAATAACGTTGTTGAACATCGCGATGACAATATGCGATAAACAAACACTGAGCGATCATATCAGCTGTGGAGTTTCACAGCCGATTCCAGCAGAGAAACGAAACGAAATAAACTATTTTCAAATGTGCGTTTATTGAATAAAATGCACATGAACATTAAACCAGTTAAAAGAAGACATTACCCCGTAAAAAAATAAAATAAAATCCATAAAAATGGAAAATTTTGCATGCCAGAAAAATATGTTAAAAATTGTAAAAAAAAAATATCAGCAAATATCGAAAGAATAATAAAGATTTTAGCTGATAGAAATATAGAAAAACAGAGTGATTTAATGGTCACAGATGTTTGATGTGATTTTTGATGGTAATTATTATGAATAATTAATTAATAAAAGATGTTTTTGCTTATTTAAATACAATTTAAAAACTGTGGAATTTTA